TCTCGAAATTTACACTCTTGGAAGTATCCATAAGTACAGTAGCAACCCCCTTATATCCAACTTGATATAATTTGACTGTACCCACTATCATAACCTACACTAGCACCAGTCATAGAAGTCCCCTCCACATTTCGATTTTTGGAAACAGCCCCTTTATTTCCATTCTCATTAGGCCTCATATTTAACCCTCCTTTGTTGCATTCCCCTAACTCAGAACGACAACTACGCTCAGCAACATGCATGAGGCTGCTATCAACCTTACCATCGGGCAAAGCTGAACAATCTTATAATTAAAATTAGTCGCAACCATGTTATCATTAACATCACTATTTGAGTATTCGCAAGAAATCTTATTATTCACATCGTCCCCATTAATTACATCCTGGTCCCTTATTAACAAATTAGCCTCGTCATTAGGTGCGTTCGACAAGTCAAAAATTTGTAATAGTTTTGCCAAATTTTTACTGGATGGCGTTCGATAACGACAAAAAATTATCCAACACACAAAAATTGAGAGAGCAAGCGTTCATTTTGACGCAAGAGAAGCGTTCATTTTGTACTAGCAAAATTTTAGTCAGCAAAAACTATCCAACACGAAAACATATGATTACAAAACATATGGTTGCAATTTTTGTAAACAAACAAAATAGCATTTTCCGAGTTTTGGTATTTATATGCTTTTTGGCTGCCTGCTATGTGACTTTATGATAGCGCCAACCAAGGTACATTGAACAGGTAGTATCAGTAGAGCAGCTGATTTGATTTATTTTCAAATTATTTGGTCTCGAAAATGTCAAATATTTTTAATTTTTTCTCACGAAAATTATAAGTTGTTAAAATCCATTTGCTTGTGAAACCTTTTTCCATACAAAACAAGCGATTGAATAGCAGCTTTTGGAACGTTCGCCCAACTCGGCAGCACGACCGCTGATTACTGGGCCTTGCAAAGGATGGATCAATGCTTCGAGAAGCAAACAAATTTACTAGGAAAGAAAGTTGCATCAATTTTTATTTTTTCCAATTTCAATTTTTTATTCTTTATAATTTTTTGTATTTCAATGGCACGCTTTGATTTAGAAGAAAAAATTCAGAACAGTTGTTGACACTTTCGATACCAGCAGCAACAACAAAATACACGCAAATGTTGTTTTTGCTCTACTGATACTACCTGTTTAATGTGCCTTGGCGCCAACCATGATAAAAACATAGTAAGGTTGAACCGTTCTCTCAATTTGTCGGCCATGATTTTTTTTTTGAAGTTTGCCAACATTTTAAAATCATATAAAAGTGAAAATAAAAAATTGAAATTGTTCGAAATTGTTGTTGCTTGAGATTGAAAATGAAAATGTGTGTGTGAGTTTGTGAGTAAATTTAAAAATTAAATTGTTTGGAAACGTCCAGAATTTTAAAAGTGACTCTCAGCGGTTCTACCTTACTATATTTTTATATTTATATTTTTTTGGCGCCAACTAGTTTTTACTTCTAGAAATGTTCCTGGCGAACATTGAACGTTCACTTTCATTTTTTCTTCTATGGAGGCAACATGAATTTCAGTTTGTTTACAAATAAAACATAAACAAAGTCAGCTGGTGTGTCTTCTTCTTCCGGTACAAACATACGCACAAACTTGTTCCAATCACACAGCACTTCATTTTTATACCCGAGCGCACTTGTGCACAAGGGTATTATAACTTTGTTCACATAACGGTTGTTTGTAACAGGCATAACGAATCGAGATAGATATAGACAAATGTATACATAAATGATCAGGATGAAAAGAGAAATCGATTAAGCGGTGACTGTCTGTCCGCCCGTCCGTCCGTCCGTCTGTGCACACGATAACTCGAGTAAAAATTAAGATATCTTAACGAAACTTGGTACGTGTACTTCTTTCGGGCGTAGGACGGATGGTATTGAAAATGGGAAAAATCGGACAATAACCACGCCTACCTCCCATATAACGGTAATTTTCAGAAATACGAAAACTGCGATATTTTAGTAACTACTGAAGATTATTCACTCAAAATTGATATTTGCAATAACTTTTACACGAAAAATAAGAACATTATAAATTTTTGAAAAATGGGCGTAGCCACGCCCACTTAGTGTTACATGTGTATATCTTGGCAACCGCTGCACCGATTTCTTCCAAACTTAACACAGTTATTGGCCTTGGTACAGGATACCAAATGGCCGAAAATTTTAAAAATCGGACAATAACCACGCCCACATCCCATATAACGGTAATTTGGAGAAATACGTAATCTTCGATAAATCCGTAAATATTGAAGCTAATTTATTCAAAATTGATGCTTGCAACAATTCTTTATCAGGAAATACGCTTATCATAAAATTTTGGAAAATGGGCGTGGCACCGCCCACTTATGATCACATATATATATCTCGGTAACCGTTCTACCAATTTGTACCAAACTCGGTATGGCTATTGTGCTTGCCACATAAAAGCAAAATGTTGGAAATTATTGAAATCGGACTAAAATTACGGCTTTTCATATAACGGTAAATTTTAGAAATGCTCGAAACGTCAATATTTCGAAATTTAAGGACGCTAATTTATTCAAAATTGATACACCCCGGCTTACCATGTAGCGGTAGGGTAAATTTTACCACCACCTCCACAGTTCAAGGTTAAGAATCGAGTTCAAGTCGATACGGTCTATACCGATTTTTCGAAGGCTTTTGACAAAGTAAATCATTCACTCTTAGTGCCTAAGCTAGCCGACCTTGGCTTTCATTTTAGTTTTTTGTCTTGGGTGAAGTCATACTTGGCGGAACGTTGTTGTGTTGTTGTTGTGGATGGTATTCGCTCACGTTCTTTTATTGCGTCCTCTGGTGTCCCGCAAGGTAGTGTCCTCGGATCTCTTTTGTTTGTCATTTTTATTAATGACATACATACGACATTACTTTACTCTAATTTTTTATTGTATGCGGACTACTTAAAAATATTTAAAACAGTCACGAGTCTTTCTGACTCGATCAAACTCCAAT